AGTGGTAGTTTTTGTGATTTAATTTAGGGATGCAGAGCTTGTCTCTTACAAAAATATATAAACCTAGTGAAATTTGCATTATTTTTTTAAATTTATCATTAACAAACTTCATCTTAAAGATAGTAGTTAACACTCAATTTCTTTTTTATTTCTTACCATCTGCTGTATACTCGATGTTTGTGTCCTTCCTCCTCACCTTATATGCTGAAACCTAATCCTGGATATGATGATATTTGATAAGTGGAGCTTTTGAGTGGTGATTAGGTCATCAGGGTGGGCCATCTTGAATGGGACTAGTGTTCTTATAAAAGAGAACCCCCTAGCTCCTTCCACCATGTGAGGACCATCTATGAACCAGGAAACAGGCCCTCACTACACATGAAATGTGCCTGCACTCTTATCTTGGATTGTCCAGCCTCCAGAACTGTCAGAAATGTTTGTTGTTTAAACCACTCAGTCTACAGGATTTTCGTTATAGCAGCATGAATGAACTACAACATCATCTCATCTGGTTGTGTTTCCTCTCCTGTCTTTTGCTACAATAACTTTCCAATTCTGGAATTAATATTTTACTTCATTTATTTGGTAAACAAATACATTTCAAATACATTTTTAAAAGAATACATTAATGACCTTGCTGATGTAAAATATCTTTCTGTTGCTTTTATACATGAATAATTCAGTTATATATAAACATTTCTGGTCATTACTTTTCTTCAAAGGATTATGGATTTGGTTCTATTGTCTTCTGGTAGTTATGGTTTCAGAGTAGATAGCTGAATACAATCTAGCTTTTGTTTCTTTGAAGTCAAAACCTCTCATTTCTTCTTGCCATTGGTTGAATGAATGTAGAGTTGCTTCTTGCCATACAAACTGTAAAGTGTTATGAAAAATATCTTGAAAATGTTATCTTTCCAATAAATTTTCTCACTTTGCTGAGTAATCAAAATTTCACAATTTCCATTCTTAAATTATTCTATTATATCTTTGTTTCCTATTGCTGTCTTCCTCAGAAAAGAACAATTATTTGAAGGTGTGTTAACTTTAATTGATTATAGTTATTACCTTCTTTTATTTTTTGGTTTTTATTAATTTACTAAATATATGGATATCATTAAAGTTTACCTTGTGTCTCACTATTTTAATTTTCTGCTGTATCCAGTTTTTGCTTCTTACTGCTTTCAGTATGGTTTAATTTCTATTTCTATGTTCTTAGTTTTAAAGACTGTTTTCCTAGTTAATTTTATGCTTATAGTGGCCTTACTTTCTCTATAGGATGGCATTCTATTTTAATACAAACAATGTTCTTTTGATTCTTATTGAGAGCATTAAATAGATATCATGAATAAACTGACTTCATGGAGAAGGATTTTCTTCTAATATATGAGAGAATATTTCCTTTGCTCTTTCCTATTCTTTTTCTTTACTCATCCTTATATAGAAATCTATTTCAGGAAAAGGCACACCTCACAACTGTCTTAAGCTATTAGAGCTTGTCCAGGTGTTGAAGAATACCTTGATGCTTCTTTTACCAGTGAAATTCCTAGGATATAGCAGGTTTTCATAAGTTGTAATCTCTCCTTCCTCTTGACAATTGCCTTTTCTCCCATCCAGACAAAATAAAGATACAGGGATTGAGTCTGAGATGAGACAGACAGCTCATTCTCAGATGATATTCTAGAGCATATCTCAAGCTACTGTAATATCTACTCAGTTGTATGAGTCCACATAGCCAAGTACTATCGAAAAATGAGACCATTCATACTAACTTGCAATTTGATTCTAAATAAGTTATATCAAAACTCAGGCTTTTTATTTTCTGGTGCATATAAGGAAGGAAATGAAAAAAATCAAATAAATACCAAAAAGAATTATAAACTATTAAACTTAGAAGATATTAATATCCTCATTTTACAATTAAGAACAAAGTCTCTTACAAATATTGAATCATTATGCTGTACACCTGAAACTAATATAATTTTATATGCCGATTATATCTCAACAAAAAGTAAAAAATAAAATAATTAAAGTTTACCTTAAAAAAGAACAAAATTGGAACTTCTGATCAAGATGGAGGTATATGTAGAAATATTTCACCTCCTTGCACAACCACAAGAAGAATTACAACTAAACTCAAAACAATACCCAGAACTGCCAGAAAATTGAACTGTATGGAAGTCCAATAACCAAGGATTTAAAGAAGCCACATTTATCCAGAAGGGTAGGAGGGGCAGAGACATGGAGTTGGGCGGAGAGGTGAGGAGGCAGTGTGGCAGGAGAGGAAGTGGTTGTGGAACAGGAGGTCCCACATTCATTATGTTGAGTACGGCAACAATATAAAGGAAGAAATGAAGACTACGCTAAGTGAAATAAGGAAAAGTCCACAGGGGATCAACAGTAATTGGAAGGAAGCTGGGATTCAAATCAATGATTGGGAATGTAAGGAAGAAATAAACATTCACCCAAAAAGAAAAACAAGAGACAAGAATTAAAAAAAAACCTGAATATAGTCTAAGAAGACTCTGGGGCATCTCCAAAAGTGCCAACATCTCAATCATAGGGATTCCAGAAGGAGAAGAGAAAGAGCAAGAAGTTGAAAATTTATTTAAAAAAAATAATGGAAGAAAACTTCCCCAATTTAGTGAAGGAAACAGACATAAAGTCTAGGAAGCACAGAGAGTCCCAAACAAGTTGGACTGAAAGAGGCCCACACCAAGACATATCGTAATTAAAATGCCAAAGGTTAAAAGTAAAGAGAGTATCTTAAAGGCAATAAGGAAAAAGCAGACAGTTACCTACAAAGGAATTCCCATAAGACTATTAGCTGATTTCTCAAACGAAACTCAATGCAGGCAAGATGGGACTGGCAAGAAGTATTTCAAGTAATGAAAGGCAAGGACCTACATCCAAGATTACTCTACCCAGCAAAGCTATCATTTAGAATGGAAGGGCAGATAAAGTGATTCCCAAACATGGTAAAGCCAAAGGAGTTCATCATCACCAAGCCATTATTACAGAACATGTTAAAGGGACTTATTTAAGAAAAAAGGCCCTGACTGGCATAGCTTAGTGGATTGAGCGCGGACTGCGACCCAGGCATCGCAGGTTTGATTCCCAGTCAGGGCACATGCCTAGGTTGCAGGCCATGGCCCCCAGCAACCACACATTAATCTCTCTCTCTCTCTCCCCTACTTTCCTCTCTAAAAATAAATAAATAAATGATAAAAAAATAAAGAAAAAAAGTCAAACTTTAAAAAAAAGAAAAAAGAAGATCAAAATCATGGACATTAAAAAGGCAATAAATTCACAACTGTCAACAACGGAATCTAAACACACACACACACACACACACACACACACACACACTAAGTAAACAACCAAAACTAGAACAGAATCATAGATGTGGAGATCATTTGGAGGTTATCAGCTGGGAGGGGAAAGGGAGAGAATGGGTAAAAAGGTACAGGGAATGACAAGCATAATAGGTAGGTACAAAATAGACAGGGGGATGTTAAGAATAGTATAGGATGTAGAGAAGCCAAAGAACTTATATGCACGGCCCATGGACATGAATTAAAGAGGAGATTGTTGGAGGGAAGGGGTGTACTAGGTGAAGGGGGGCAAAGAGGGAAAAATTGGGTCAACTGTAATATCATAATCAATAAAATATACTTAAAAAAGGACAAAATCTCAAAAAGAGTTAAATCACTTTACTAAGGTTGCTAAAATAGAAAGTGGTAAACTAGGATCTTGACACAGTTTTTAGACTCTAAGTGATTTCTTTTATACTACAGAAAATCTAAAAGCATATTTTTTGAAAAATTTATTTTAAAGGGAGTATTCCAGCATTATATACCAAATGGTATAGTATACTATTTTATTATTATTATTATTATTTTAAGATTTTTATTTATTTATTTTTAGAGAGGGAAGGGAAAAAGAGAGAGAGAGAGGGAGAGAGAAATCAATGTGCAGTTGCTGGGGGTCATGGCCTGCAACCCAGGCATGTGCCCTGACTGGGAATTGAACCTGAGATGCCTGGGTTGCAGCCCGCACTCAATCTACTGAGCTACACCAGCCAGGGCTATTTTATTATTTTTTTAAAAATTAATTCTTATTGTGAGAAGAGTAACATAAAAGTGTACAACCTTCTAATGAAGGCTGGGTAACCATTACATAAAAAGGCCAACAAGCAAAATGGAATGAAAACATGAAAATACAAGTACTTTCTGAGCTGAATTGATTGGTTAATGCCATCCACTGTCTTGATCATCATCAAACAGAATCTTTAAATTATCACTAGCTGGAATGCAAAATAAATATATTACGTTCATTTCTAAACTTCTTCAGTGTTATTATATATGCTTTCACTCATTTCTATTTTTTTCATTTCTAATAGAGGTGAAAAACTTATTAGGGCAGATGAGCATCAACTAAGAAATGGATTTACAAAGAAAAACAGCCAAATGTTCATTAACAAGAAAGAATATGCCTTTCTACAAATATAATGTACTTTTACTCCATTGCTAGTAGTAAAATATCTGCAGTCATTAATTAATTAAACAAATATTGCCAAATTAAAATTTGGAAGCTTGTTTTGTGGGCATAGAATCAGAACAAAGGCAGTTTGATTGTTTTATGAGTTATGTCACCCAAATGATGATAGAGGGGAATTACCCTTGTTATACAAAAAAATACTTTTCTTTGATCTCTTGTCACAAATCAACCATGAAGAATTTTGATTTCAAATTCTCTTTTCTCTAGATTCTTAATTTTACTCTATTTCAACCATGATCCATCCGACAATCTTAAAATATTGTATTATATGTTTATTCTGATATAATAGAATGATTATAACTAATATAACTTGTTTTGATTCTTTTGTACTTTTCCTATGAAATATAAAGGGCTCACTTTTTTATAAGCTGTACCTTTTCATTAATTATTAGTTAAACAAAAACATTTTCCAATGAAGATGAAATAAATCCAAGTATACTTACCACATGAAGAATTTTATTCTCTGTTTCATATACAGTACAATCCTAAAAAAATAAACATAGACATTAGTTTTGAGAAAAATCAAGCATTCATCCTAAATACTTGCTTAGGAATTGTACTACAGTTTGAAAAAGTCTTGACAATTGAAACAGAAGCAGCAATAATGAGAAAAAAATCTGAAATACTATATGCCAACATATGCATAATGGTTACTCCTATGGTCAGTTACAGGGATATTCCAATTTTTGCTTAAATGTGTTTTCTATTTTAATTAATTTTATTTATTTTTTCTGAATATAATGCCTTTATTCTTTTTTATTGTTGTTCAATTACAGTTGTCCCAATTTCCCCCCACTGCTCTCCCCTGCCCTGCCAACCTCCCACTCCCACAGCCAATCCCCACCCTGTTGTCCATGTCCATGGGTCCTTTATACATGTTCCTTGACTTGCCCCTGTCCCTTCTTTCCCCCATTTTAAATACATAAAAGAAATGACAATTTATATTAAATAGATATAAAAACAAACTTTGGAAAAATTTTTTAACCATTTTCTATCTAAAGTTTTACATGTAATAAATGTATTTTTGTTGAAATATTTCCAATGTTTCAAATGATAATTCATTATAGGTTGGGACATTAAGAGAAACACTAATATTTATTTCAATAATCATTAAAATATCAAAAATACTTTTATATTTTAATTATTGTAGGCTATTAAGTGTACTTTACATTATGCATTGAAAATTGGTACATGCTGCTAATAAACACCAAGTTTATTGTTCTTGCCTAAATATGAGTCCCTGAAATTTTTTAAAATTATTTTTACAAAATCACTATTGTCTTTTTACTTGCAATTGCTACACTTACAATAAGCTGTAACATAGCCAAGTGATCTCTGCTTAGAAAGTTTGCATTTCTATGGTTCAGTTTTCTTAAGGAATTTATGAAATGGGAATTTATGAAATCTAGTCAAGGAGTTGTAAGGATTAAATGAGAAAATGAGATAAATGGCTTAGCACAGTATTTGGCATACAGTAATTGATAAATATACCTTTTAACTATGAATTACTGCTCTGCATCTTAAAAAAAATTAAACAAATAATTTTTACTTCAGAATATAAACTTAATTATTATTTGGCTATATAATTTTGAAAAAATCCATATTCCACCATACTGTATATTTCAAGGAATAACAGTCCTTTTCACTTTTTCCTGAACTTAATTTTAACAAAAAGGAATCTTGCTTAGCATAGTTTTTCATAATGCCATTTCACCACAATACCTTGTCAGAAGAAGTACATATTCTTATCAAGGGCAGAATTTTTAAAGTTAGATTTAGGTCTGATTCATTTCACAAACTAATAAAAATACTTAAGGATTGGGTCTTGCTATCCTGAGGGCTCCTGTGCCAAAGAAGAAGTTTGTTACAAAAATAGTCATATCTATGTCTATATTCCTACATAAAGTCAACTCATAATAATTAAGTATGAATTATGTACAGATGAGCCATGGTGTAGATAAAACATTTATATTTGGAAAGTGCACTTGTACTGTTGTCTGAATTTGAAGGGTCTAATTTTAAAAAAAATTAACTTCAAACAAAATTACACTGGGAAGAGATGATTTGGAAAAAGCTGGGCAGTTGCCCAGTTTCCCTATGCTTTCTTTACAACTTGCTTCAGCTGTAATGGATGCAAGTTTCATTATTTACCTACTTTCTTAGAATTGGAGAATACGAGTAAATGTTCAAACTTCAAAGGGATTCTCAAGGAAAAAGGTAAATATGATCTAAATGTATATCCTGCTAGTGATAAAATGCTCACACAGATTATTTCAAGTCTCATGATTTTTTCAAGATTTTATTTATTTATTTCTAGAGAGAGGGGAAGGGAGGGAGGAAGAGAGGAACAGAAACATCAATGTGTGGTTTCCTCTAGCACACCCCCAACTGGGGACCTGGCCCATATCCCAGGCATGTGCCCTGACCGGGAATTGAACCAGCGACCCTCTGGATTACAGTCCGTGCTCAATCAACCAAGCCATATCAGCCAGGGCTCAAGTTGCTTTAAAATATAATACTATACTTGCACATCCCTACTGTAATATAACCAAAAGAACTGTGTAACAAAATATTATGCTATTTTCAGCAATCACAGAGTTTGTTGGTAGTAGTGTTGTTATTCTGTTGTTTTGCTAAAACTGTTGTATTTTATAGGGTGAAGCAATTGAACAATTATGTGATTCTATCATTTTATCACTCTTGGTGTCATTGGTAAGTAATTTTAGCATGGGAGAAAGCAGATTCATATATAAGAAGTAAAAACTTTAGAGTCTCTTGATGTCTTATGTATGTATATACATATGTCTGTTTTTCTTAGCTCTACCTATTGAAGACATAGAAACAATGATTAATCTAGTAATAAATAAACTTTACACAGTTAGTGGTCTTCAACTGCCATTTCCCAGGCCTTCTTGAAAAATGGCCGATTCCAGATCTGGGATAGGAAATGCACAAGATGAGCTTGGATTATATTGTGTGCAAGATAGAAAGAAGTTATTGAGCATTGTGTGAGTAGGACTGAGAAGTCAATATAATGAAATTCTCACTGGTCAAAGATAGAGCAATTTGAGCATCTAAAAGGATAACTGAAATTGGGTGAAACAGTAAATATTATTAATTATTAAAGATATTAATATGATGCTAAATTTTAAATATATGAAATAAATCCAAGTATAGTTTAATAATATTGAATATATTGAATGAATTGGACAGTGTATAATTGATGTAATTTTTTTCTTAATTCAACAAATATTTATCAACGTGCTAAGGATGCAATAAAATATGGCCCCTGACTTAGGGAAGAGAAGTTTAAGGAGATAAATGTTGACACAAATAAGTTTAAATACATAGAATTCCAAAGTCTTCATGCAGTTTTAAGTTTCAGTAACTTTAGAAATATAAATGTCACAAAAGTATACAAATCAACATGTGAAGGGTCAATTATTTAAATTTAAAAAATGTTAATATATTTTTATTTTTTTATTGTTGTTCAAGTACAGTTGCCTCCATTTCCTTCCCACCACTCCCCCCTGCCCCACCCCACCCCCCACCTCCCACCCTCAATCCCACCCCCGCTGGCTTTGTCCATGTGTCCTTTATCCATGTTCCTTGACAACCCTTCTCCCTCTCCCCATTAGCCCCACCCCTCCCTCTGGTTACTGTCAGTTTGTTCTTTATTTCAATGTCTCTGGTTATATTTTGCTTGCTTGTTTGTTTTGTTACTTTTTCATTAAAATTCAACATGGCCACTGTGTTGTGCTATACATGACTCAAGTCAAATTTCAAACTTTGGAAAAACATTCATCAACTGCTGGCCCTCAATAACAAAAAGACCTTACAATTGCTCAAGAATGAAATGCTAATGCATACTTCAAAATTTTGACATGACTCCATTAGACAAAGTCTAAGGGAGATACATCAGTTGGCTGAGGTGGCTGAGTTTTTCTAGCAGTCTACAAAAACTGTCACATCCAAATGTTATAATTAAAAACTTACCATTTGAAATAAACAAACTAATTAAAAATAAATTGATATGATTTATTCAATTTGATGTTTGTAGCATATTTATAAATGGGAAGTTATTAAAATTTAAATCTGCACTAAGACTTTTAGAATACCCACAATTACTCTAATAAAGGTAGAATCATAGAGCTAGGGTTACAGAGGAGGAAACAACCAGCTCTGTTTTTAAAAAATTCCAGACATTTGGCTTTTAATTGGGTCTTGGAAAAAATAGGTCTTTAGGCAAAAAAGGCATTATTACAAAAGCAATGGAGCTATATTCAAACACAGCTACTATAGCAATTTTCGAAATATGTAGGAATAACTTGGAAAGTGGGTCAAAATGCAAATTCTCAGGTTTGTCTCCAGAAATACAGATTTAGTAGATTCACAGTGGGGGTCCCCAAGACGATTCTGATAAAGATGTTATTTTGAGACATATTCAATACTTAAATCTATTTTATAGGACATCATGTTATAGAAGAGTTCCAAACCAAATGAAACCAAAAACGATCAAATATATATAATCCATAAAACAGTAAATGGATTTAACAATAGTATCAGTTGGTTCACCCTAAACAGTTCTCAGCTCCCTCTGTAGAGCTATGTGTTTCAATTGTACATTCATCCAATTTATTGATTGGGATTTTTCCTTTTAATAAACCTATTTCTTTCTTTAATAGCTTACTACTTTCAATAAGTGCTTGTACTTGATTGTATTTCTACTTTTTTTTTTCAGCCAGATTGCCCTGCTCATTACTGAAAGCCACAGGCTTTCACAAAGGGCAAGACATAGCAAATTAAAAGCCAACCAGAACAGAAAAACAAAAAGTGCATATTAACCTGCTACTTTATATTAGGAAGAAGAATAGAAACTAAATGACTGTGTTCTATTTAGTGAAGCTATAATTTTGTGGAGTTCATTTTATCATGCTAAATATTTAAATAGCCCTAGGTACTTTGGGGGATTCATGTTATTAGGAAGTTATTTCCATCAAAATGTTATTTTAAAATATTTTCTTCTCAAGTATGAATTTGATTAATATTTATGGCCAAATCTTTCTCCAAAACATCGTACCCCAAGTTTTAAAAAGAAAATGGCAGTGAATATGGAGAAATCTACATTTTATGAACCTATTCATGCTATGGAAAGGTACACCTCTGATGTTCCAGTTATTTTTAGGTTAGGATTAAATTTAGATTTTTAAAATTGGATTTTGAGCTATGCCACTATATACTCCCAGGAGTTCTCTTCAGTAGTTCATGCTTTCTTTTACTGTACATGCAAAATAATACTTGTATTTTTTCTTTATCTTTTTCCATATAATGCTTCTAAAAAACATGTGATGTACATTTAAATGCACTAAGTTCTTAATAAGACTATATTTATAAAAATGAGGAGTGTTTCTTCAATTTTGATCACTTTTCTTAAAAAAGTAAGCATGCACTTAAACTCACAGATGAGGTATACACACATACAGAG